ATTAATTTTTAGTGCTGAGCCTTTGGAGCCACTCTGACTTTCTGAATTCTCCCTCTGCCTTTAGACAGGTTTCCCTGCAGATGGATTGAATGCCAAAGTCTTGACCTACCACTAACAAGAACACACAGAACCTTTTTTCTCTTTTCTGCATCCTCTGGCATCTCCCAATTAGTTTTCAACAAAAATAAACAGAATTGCAGGAAAACCCTGCAGGAGAGGGCAGGCAGCACAAAGGCCTCTGCAGACACCACCAGAGCTGTAAGTCCTTGACTGCTGCTACCACCTGATTTTTTATGAGCTGGAAACATGAGTTGTGCAGAGCTAGGAGGACATTTTAATTTTCTTATCTGGCTCATTGTGATGTACCTTCACCTCTGAAATCAGGAGGTGGTGTGTTGTGTACATTACAATGAGATTTGAGCACTTGCCCAGTGATAGCATTGTACTGATGAAAGATGAGAAAGGCACTTATATTTGAAAAAGGTGCTGAGGAATGCATGGCATATTTCAGAGAACAATTGTCTGGTGTCCACTCCTCCTCTCAAAACAGATTCTTGCTTAAAATGCTGATCAAACTGGATGACAAAGAGATGTCAAATAAATGCTGCTACAAAATTTGGAATTTGAAATCTTAAATCTGAAGATTTGAAAATCATTCAGCATAAATCTACACATATATACACAAATATCTGTATGCATCTTGACATAGAAATGTACAGATATATATACACAGACATCAATGGAAAGGGAATCAAGAAATATCAGTATTACCATCTCAAATACAAGGGATAGAGTGATCCTAGTATGCATTTTTTTTTCTGTTTTACTTCCCACCAAGCCCCTGACAGCTGAAACTAAAAAGTTAATCAAATGAGATCAAAATAGATAATGCCACCCCTGTTGGTAGTTCTGCAACAGAACTGTACCAGTGGGCTTTATCCCCTCTGTAGAGGGAAGTTCCATCTCCTGTGGACTGTCTGATGACCCTTAGCTTGCCATGCTAACCACTCCTCCAACAGGGGACAGATCTTTTCTGTGATCCAAAGAAAAGCTGAATGTATTGCATAAAATACAGTAAATAAAACTCTGTGTAGAGTCAGCTCAGGAAAGACCTTTTCTATACATGGCACAGAGAAAAGGGGATCATCCTCCAGGTTCCCACAGCTCATCTGCAATGCAGAAATCACCAAAGGAGTGTGTCCCTCCAGTGTGTATTACAGAACACACCAACATTTTGTTATTATCTGTTACTGCCTTGCTCCTTCTCTTAGTACATGGCCCATCGTGGAAGTGTTCAAGGTCAGCCTGGGTGAGGCTCGGAGCAACTTGGTCTAATCAAAGGGTTCCCTCCCTGGCAGGGGAGGGGAGGAACTGGATAATGTTTAAGGTCCCTTCCAACCCAACCCAACCCAACCCAACCCAACCCAACCCAACCCAACCCAACCCAACCCATTCTGTGATGATTCTATGATTTGTATTTCCCTAAAATTCCTGTCTGTCTGCATTTCCTTAGTCAAACTGACTAGAGCACACACAAGTTTTGGTAGCCCACTGATCATTCCCCATACCAGACCACTTTGATTCATTTTGATCTTTAAAAATGGGAGGATGAGCCCCCATCCTGGATGTTTTGTCTATTGACATTATATGATGAGAGGGAGGGAGGCACTGATTGTCTATAGCTATTTCTACATTATCTATTACTGTGGACTCTCAATCTTGCTTGAAGGCCATCAGTGTGATCATACAACAAACATGAAATAATTCAACTGTCAGTAATATTGCTTCTTTGGCCAACACCATATATATCTGAGGCTATATGTGACTTACAGAGAGCCACAGTGCTGCTGTGTTTTTCCCCCTCCACACCTAAACATGTAGTCCACAGTCTTACTAAATAAGACAACTGAAAATGATGGATAAAGAGATGGAATAATAGATTTCATAGCTATCTCTACCTCTCTAACTATCTTGGCAAAAAAACCCCTAGCAAAATAAATAGAAAAAGACTGCTTGGCTAGTACACATATGCTAACAGACTTTTATTATTATTATTTTTTAAAACTCATTCTCAGTGTTAAATAAACTGTGGAAAAAGGATTTGATTCATGGTTGCATTAGGAATCTACTCAACCAAATCCCCTTGTCACAAATTAAATCATAAACTAAAAGTCAAACATGATTTGTGAAATTTAGATATCGAGGAAATGTTCCCCAGTGCTGCATTGTGATTAGTCTCTGGCTTCTGAAATATCACCCATAATTCACGAGCTTCTCTGAAACCATGCCACTACTGGGATGGCATGCATGATGGAAAGGTGCAGCCACAACCAGAGAACAATCCCTTTCCTGATGCTGCTGAGAACCAGAGGTCACTGTGTCTTATCATTTGGGAAGGTCCATGCTTCTCAGCCCCCACACACCTGTAACACCTCACCCCTCTGCAGGCACTCTCTTCCACCTCTCAGATTTATCACAGGCTACAGCTGTTTCTACTTTTGAACACGGAGGCTTGGCAGAAGCTCTGCATTGTGCCCTTTCTTTAAAATAGCGACTAATAAAAAATGAAACTTAATTAACAGCCATTGGTTCTTTCAGAGTCTGTCTTTCAGCAGAGGGATTCGGTGCCTTTGCAAGGGGATGCAGACAGCTTAATCCTACAGGCAGAGGAGCTCCAGCACAAAGCAGACTTAGTGATTGTTAAAGGCTAAATGGTCATTGGCAAAGCACGCTGTGGAGCCTAATGATTTTAGAAGCCAGGATATTCAGATATAGCTTAAAGATATGGGATGCTTTCCTTTTCAAGGTGATTTTCATCATGAAGACGTTTTCCTGCCAATAAATGCAGTATTTTTTTGGAAATAATACTGTAACACAATTCCCACTTCTCTGAACACCAGATATTTTTCACAGGGAGCAAAACAGCCCCCAAGTCTTATGGGGAAAAGAAGGAAAGCTCAGCTTGTGTCTTCACAGGCATTCAAGAAGAAAGCTTCAGCACCTCTACAGCCCATCCCCTCGTGGCCTTTCTTCAGCATGTATTCATGTATTGTCACCACTGCCACCATGAGCTGTTTGCTCTGTTCGTGCAAGAGTGTGTACTTGTGTGTGTGTGTGTGTGTGTGTATCTAGGGTTACATAACACAGAAACGAACATCACAAACAAGAACATTCCCTCTCTTTTAATCAAAAAAGGAATCTGATCCCCCCCTTTAACCTGAATACAGAGAAAATGTCCTCAGCCTCTTTTCAGGATTAAAGGAGAACGTACTCCCTGTACAGCCTGATTTCCCTTAGCTGCCTGTCTGCACACAGAGCAGGCTGTATTAGATCTGGGCTCTGTCCTCATCTGCAGCAAACAGGGCTTCATGGAGCCATGACCATTTATGCCACTGAGGACAGAGCATTCAGCACGCAGCTCTGAAAACATCTGAGCCAGCCTCCACCCAGTGCCTGCACCAGCTCCTTCTGGCAGCTGCATTCCACCATGGATGGCAGGCTCTGCCCCAAAGGAGGAGGGGGAATCCAAAGGAAATTACTGCCCGCTCTACTAAGCTAACCCTTAGGCAGAGAGAGAGGCCTCGCTTCTCCGAATAGGAATTCATTGCTCCAGTAACAAGATTGGATGAATAGTCCACGAGGGACTGCTACCTCCACTCAACACACTTTCTTTGGATAAACAGTCATTCCCTTCTTGTGTTGAGACACTAAAAAGATGTCACCAGTGGATGGTGGCTTTTGAAAACTGTTTAATCTTTTTTAACTACTCTCTTCTACCTGTAATAACCTGTTAAAAAGCTGGAAATAGCAGAGTTCCCTACTGGGTCACCCTTTTCTATTCGGAGAACATTGATTTTTTTCCTGTTGTGCCAAGATTAATGTGGCCTGTTTGTTTGACAACAGATACAACATATTTAGTGCCTGAAATCAAGCTCAAGTGATTGTCTGTGGACAACATCCCTGTCTGCCACTGGTGATGATCTGGAGAAAAAAAAAATCTTAAAAAAAAAAGCTTTGCTACTTAACTGTCATTGCAGAACTATCAGGGGATTACAGTGGCCCTTAAAACCAAAATCTGTTGCTGATGGGACATATTTAAAACACTTTTAGTGAGAGTTGAGGGATTCAATGAAAACTGTTACACAAAGGAGGTTATTCAAATTATCCACTCTAAGTCTGTTGCAGCTTTGATTCAAAATGGTTCCAGATCTTACAGGTACAAACTTTCCTTCTCTCTTGTTATTTTAGAGAAAACATTGGTTTGTCCTCTTTCTTCTACTTTAAGTAGGAAAAGAAACAGCAAGTTTCTTATAGGCAAAGGCTCACTCTAAGACGGATATTGAGGTGCTGGAGAATGTCCAGGGAAGGACAATGAAGGGTCTAGGGCACAAGTCCTGTGAGGAGTGGCTGAAGGAGTTGGTATGTTTGGCCTGGAGAAAAGCAGGCTCAGGGAGGACCTTACCACTCTCCACAACTTGCTGAAAGGAGGCTGTAGCCAGGTGGGGGTCAGTCTTCTGCCCCAGTTAAAAAGTGACAGGATGAGAGAAAATGGTCTTAAAGTGCACCAGGGAAGGTTTGGATTGGATATTAGGAACAATTTCTTTACTGAAAGGGTGGTCAGGCTGTCCAGGGAAGTGGTGGAATCATCATTCCTGGAAGTGTTCAAAAATCCTGTGGATGTGGCACTTGTGAGCATGATTTTGTGGTGAATATGGTGGCAGTAGGTTAATGGTTGGACAATGATACATTTTCCAACCTTAGTGATTCTATGAAAGTACAGAAAAGAACATGAGAAAAGCCAGGGAAATGATGAGTGTTCATTCCTTATCCAAATACCAAATATCACACACACAACAGCAGAGGGTGAAAACACATCTGTTCCATTCTTTCAGAAACATTACCAAGTTCCAAAACCCTGATCTCCCTCCCTTCCTTCTTCCCTCCCTCCCTTTCTTCCTCCTTCCCTTCCCCTTCCTCTGGCAAAAGCCAGTAATACCTACAAATATTTTTTATTTTCGTAAACATCATGCAGCTTTAAAACGTGGGGATGTTCTATCAACTTCAGGATGGCTATTTCCCGCTCCACCTGGAAGAAACAAAAAGAAACAGAGAAGATTAGAAGCTTGGTTTTAGAATACATTAGGTATTGTCACGCATTTTCTTCCCATTTATCCATTTTCCACTCCTCTTCATATGCAGAGGATATGGAAAATTGTAACAATGTATCTTATTTAGCACTTCCGTAATTTAAGAAAAATTCAATTTATTCAGCCTCAGTACTCCCTGCCCTGCAGAACCAAAAACCAGCAAAATTTCAAGGTTGAAAGAAAAGTCCCAAGTATACCACAGAAAATTAGCTGTGGGAGTTCCATGACAATTCAAGGCTGTTCCTGCCTCACAATCCAAAGCCAATGACATGTTCTCAAAGTACAGAAACTCTAAGATGTCATGTAGGGCTCTCCTGACCTCCCACAGCCACAGATGTGGCTGCTCCATGAACTGCATACTCCATTCATGTTAGAAAATCCCCGTCCTGAAGAACTTGCCATGCATGTGGGAGAGAAGATACACGGCAGTGTGATTTTATAAGCTCCAGAACTGAGGCGCAGAAAGGGAAAGAAATATAAGAAGTGACATAAGAAGTAGAAGGCACAACAAGAAATTAAACCAGATTACTGGAGGCGCAGTGTTCAGAGCCTTAAGTGCAAGACTGTGCTTTCCCTCAATTCCCAGCCTGCCCAAGTGTGGCTACTTCCAAGAGCGTGTTTTCAATGCTGAGTTAACAAGTTGTGACTAAGTCCCTGTAATTAGTGTAAGCCCTGTTCTCACCCAAAATTCCTATCATGACCACTAAGGGTATTCATTAGAGATGGAGCCAGTGCAATTCCTCAGCTGTTAGCAAAATTGCTCTGCTGCTCAAAACCACACTGTAACCGCTCTGATTTGACCTAGGCTAAGTCCAAGGGAGTTAATGTAGCACTGTGGAGACTTTGGACATGTGAAATAAACTCTGCAACAAGATGCAGTCTAAGCATTGCACAGTCGGGCATGGCAAATCTCAAGGAATCTACAAAGGCAGGAAAAAGACCTAAAGAAGCAAACAAGGACAACCAGGTAGGATTTTTTCCAGTCCTTTAAATAACTGATTCTCCCGGAGCTGTTATACTGACAAATAAACCATGAACAAACTACAAAACCATCCCTTAATGTCTCCCCTGCAGGGATCAGATGAGTAATTAGGAACTTGCCCCAGTACATCTTAGTTCTTTATGTCCTTTAACTTCCTGAGAGAACATCCTCTGCTAAGCTTGAACACAGACAACTTTACCTGCATGCCAGTAAGATACTCTGCAGGAAATTAGAAAGTGGTAGTTTGCAGCACTGTGCAGAAGAGGATTTCCCAGCCTGTTGGTTATCACCCCAGATCTCTCTTCCCTTACAGTACCACATAAAAACACCAAAAGCAACTTCTGCACTACATCATCCTTAGCTTTCCTTACATACCAGGATGGAAGAAAGTATTTTTGCATATGTGCCAATCTCAGTCTTTGAAAGACTCTTATTCCTCTCTGCAGAGTCAAAAGTCATCTGAGAGATTCCACTTCCACACTTGGGATCTCTGAAAATAGCTCCTTCAGAGAAGTGGGGAACGCATTTAAACATGTATGTACACAGTTCAGCACTGCCAGAACTGCTAGGAATTCAGTGATACACACAGTGCTTGATGGTGACAGCTCTGTGGGTGTTAACTTACTCATGACCAGCACTCTGATGAAAGCTACTTATACACACAGGAAACAAAAGCTGGGTAGATTTCAGCTGTTCATCTATTTCACCACAGACCCAGGGGGTAGCTAGTTTATTCCATTTTTGCCTCCTCTTCAAAAAGACGTGTTACTCTTCTCTCTTACAAGATATGCCCTGATACTTGCAGAGGGCTTGTTCAGCCCTATAATTGATAAAAGTTGGATTTGCTTCAAAAATGAGGAAAAACAAAACAGAAGAAGCACCCACTCTCACAACACTCTTCCAACAGTACTGAGATTCACCTTCAGCAACATGTACTGCAGCTGCTCAGAAACTGCAACACCAACAAAGTTCCTTTTAGATGGGGAAGAACAGGTATTTCATGGGGAATGTGGCCAGTGCACCAGCTATGACAGGGATAATCCAACCTCAATCTTCCTCCTGGGGATATCCTGTCTGTGAAAAATTAAACATCCTACAGATGGGCTGTGTAACTGCATTGGTGATTCATTTCAGAGAAACCTCTTGGTTGGTTCAGTGGCAATGTAAGTTCAGATCAAGTGAGTGATGGATGGCAGCATCCAGTCAGGGTCCTGCTTGGTTACTGTCCTAAAGCATGAGAAGGGGCAGTGACTACACCTGGAGGAGGGAATTCAGCTACAGCACTGTGTGGCCTATGTTTGGTAAGAGACGATCAGAATAGAAAGGCAACATCTACTTATGACCTACAGACTTACTCTAGGAACCAACTGAAAATAATTAACCCAAGTTGCTTTTCTTTCATCATTAGTGTGTGAGCGTAGTGTGCGTATTTTTAAATCCCTGGGAACTAAATCCTAAGAAGAAATACAGTTTTGGAGGTCTCAATTTCAAGGCAGGTATGTAGAGAGCATCTGTCTTGATGTGCCTGGCAGCATTTGACTGCAGTATGTTCAGTTCAGTGGTGTGTTGTCTGTGCCTCTCAGCTTTCCACAGTCTGCTACCTCTTCTCTCTGTAAACCAAGGACAAAACTCATCTTCTCATCACAAGTAAGACTTCCAAGTAATGCCCTTCAGTGAAAGGACATTTATGAAGGAAAAATGTCATTACTGTACTGCAGTCTAGGACTTTGCCCCATGTAGAGGCACAAGACACTAATGGTTGTAATACTTTAGGATCTAAGATTCCCAGTTCTCTAAAGAGCAGTCTGATAAAGCTCATCCTCAAAAAATCTTACAGCGGTGTCCTGCATCTTTTCCCTTTTAATGCAAAACAAGATTTCAGAGAAATATGCAACACACCACTTCTCAGAATTACTACTGCAGTCAGTACTGATGGGTGACCCCCCTGGATCCTGTTAATTTTTTATGTCCCTACAAAGAAGGCAGTAATTGATCCTGGCTGGACACAGGCTGTAGATCTCAATAGCGATGTCTCTGATGCACGGCTCAGGAGGACCTAGCAGCCATCATGTCACTAGGAAAGGAGAGGTATCTGAACTCACTGGCAAAATAAGAGAGGCCTGAAATAGCATGCAGCTTTGCCTTCTTCCCCAGAGCTTTGCCAGCCCCTGGCATGCCTTTTTTGCGCAGCCCTGTGTTTGCAAGCCATGGAATGCTGTCCAGCTCCGAGCTGGCAAGGACAGGGGAGAGGAGAAACCCTGCAGCGGTGTTTGCTTTAATGCACATGCAATTATCAGAAAGCAGGGCAAGCTCAGAATAGCCTGTCTAGGGAGGCTCAGAGCCTGTGATAAACAGGAAACATGGAGAAACATTTGCCTAGTGGTTAAAAGAGAAAGGAACAAAGCAAAGCTTTTCTGTTGCATGAACACTGGGTCACATCACAGGATCCCAACTAAAGCCAGGGTTTCCTCATGCCATGGTGGGCTACTGACTGTGCCTTGAAACTGGGAGAAACAGCTGTGAAAGGCTGTGCAGGGCAAAAGGAGACACCTTGGTAATAGAGATTCTAAAAATCTGTGCAGGAGGATGCTTTGACAGGATGCTCCAGCGATTCAGCTAATGACAAAGTGCAAACAGGGGCAACGCGACTCTTAGAGGAATCATGCAATACTTTGCAGCCCTCTCCTCCATCTCTATTTCACTGTCTTTCTCCCCTGGAGGAAATCACATCTCTCTGGTTTAAGTCCATCTTGCCAGCAAATTTGCACTGGCAACAAGTGCTCTGCTCTCTTGCCTTTTGAGTCAAGCACACGGGGTGTTAATTCACTTAGAAGGCAAGGAGGGCAGGTAAAGGGAGCCTGATAGTTTGTCTCAGTGAAGAAGGAATTCTCCTTTTCTCTCGCATTAATTAGCTCAGTAACTATTGGGTCACTCATGACCCATCTGCTCCTTGAAAAAATGAGGCTCACAGCTGTCTCATATTACCAGGCTGTATTTTATCTACCAAACCTGTGCAAGCACTATGCAACAACCATTGCTAGCAGTTTCTCAAAGTATACCTACATGCAAAAAGCTGGGGGACAGCAGATGACATTTCTCCTTGGAAGCTTTGAAGCTCACCAGCAGCACACCAGAAAGCCCTCTCTTTCTCCATTAGCATCAGTAGTTTCCATATGGCTCAAAATGCTGGCTTGAGAAGGAATTCCAGAGCTGCACAAATGGTGAAGGGCAGCAAAGGCTGGCAGGATGCAAACATGTTATGCTGTTTTCCCTACTCGTAGAGCAAAATGGTGCAGGGAGGGAAGGTGTTGTAGGTTTTCTCGTGAAAATCAAGCTCTCTCTAATGCTGACCCTGCTTTGAGGTAACTAATGAAATACTTTTCAGAACTCATGGCTGTCCCTCAGTTACAAGAAACTCATCCAGGATGTGACCTTTTCTGAATTCACAATTCTCTACACTCAGAATGAACTTCAAAGGATGCAGAGATTTGGCTGCTTATCCAACTCCTCAGGCTAGAACTCAGGTTGGAAACCTTGTACCAGAGCACCTACTTTCTCCAGTGTCTGGCCTGCTGTGCAGTAATTTGCATTTCCATGATGAGGGCACAGAAAGCAGAGTAAATCACTCTGGTATTTCATTGAGTTGAAGTGGCAAAACCAAAGGCATCTCATAGGAAGGAACTAATATTAGGTTCTCTGAAAAGCCTGTGTTCCTGCCATAGCAGAAGTATCACAGCAAAACACCTGGGGCTTTATTAATTTGGTACTTAGGCTTTCATGTTATGTGGGACTGAAAGTTAAAAATGGTCAAAAATGCCTGGCTTTGGTGAAGACTGTCTAGGTCACCTGTTCACTCTTGCCCATAATGACAAAAATAGGCTATTCTTGAAATCAGAAGAGAACAGCATTAAAGCAGAAATGGCTTTATACAACAAGTAACTGCAGGCCCATTACGCC